TAAATTTTTGAAGTGAATAGATTTATGATCGTAGATTAGAACATAATAAAACAAACAGTATTAATTAAAATAATTATCATTGTTTAAATCACTTGACTCCGTGAGGTAACTATCAGAGTAATGTAATGAGTAATGCATAGTAATGAGCATTTAGAGGGCAACGAGCTTTAAATGTCAATCGTGAAGTTATGCCGTCTCAGCTAGGCAAGCTTTTATTCGGTTTTTCCGCGATGGTGTAATGAAGATCGCGTTCAAGCACCTGATGTTAAATATTAAAACAACATTGAAACAATAATGTAATGGTAGTCACTCTTTGTAATGGTAGTCACACTTTGTCTTGTGCTAATGTTCGCTCAGTTAGTAAAGTGTGGGGATCGAACGGGATTGGCACGACAACACCACACTGTACTTTCCTAGTTCGGTTCATTAGTTTTGTATTCTTCAAGTTAATGATGGCATATATACTGTTTTGTTCCAAGTGTATATATATAATTGTTGTTTTCGAACCCCCTATTCAAAAGTGCTGGCTACGGGCCTGAACAGCCTGTCAGGAAACGAAATTACATGATGTCCAGTGTGTAAACCAAGTTTGGTTTCAATCAATTAATGAGTAAATGAAATCTATTTCAAAAATATATGACCCGATGTGTGACGTATGTGTGAAGTTTAAACTTGATTGGCATGTATGAGATATGACTCCTTTGACGTTCAAACCAGATGACCGCCAGTCAGAAATTGTGGGTTTAATGATGAGAGAAATACGCACTCTTTTGTCTGATATGATGTGGATAGTTTAAATCTGTCATAGATGCGTGTGTTTAAAACAAAATGGCCACCAGTTGACAATTTTGAACCCAGTCTAAAAAAATAAAGGATATCAAGGTCCTAATATGTTGAATGTATGTATCGGATGCATCATGTTTGAACAGAATTCGTTCATGCACGACTGGAATCCGAAATGGTAAAATTGTTTGATTTCGATACATTTTCGGCCTTTAAAATGGCTGTCAATCGGCCATGTTCAATCGGACCATGAAACAACTGCATGTGCATATGACCGATATGGTGTATGTATGAAGTTTAAACTTGATCATGTGGGATATATGCTAGTACATTCTTATCAAACCAGTTATTGTGTATGGGAGTGAAATTTGGGGAGAAGAAAATCAATTGTAAAATCAATTGTAGAGGATGTCCAGCTTACATACTATCGGCACATTCTTGGTATCTCAAAAAATACACCAATCATGGCAATATGTAGTGAATTGGGAAAATTACCTTTTGACTTTTTTATTAAGAAACAAATGATAAAATATGCCAATCGTATTGCAAATTCCACAGATACTCTACTTCAAGAAGCATACTATGTCAATAAAATTATTAAAAGTAAATGGTTTAAAAAACTTGATTTGATATTAAAAAATATCAATCATTCTTATCTTTTAAATTAAACAAATATTATCTCATTAACAAAATTAAAAACAATTGAGAGAAAATAAAAGAAGAGTTTACAACTGAGTGGAAAAATGAAATAAATAATGACAATAGGAAAATAAATTCATATCATTACTAAGTGACGAGAAAATGTCAATTTCTTTAGCGCAATATTTAAAAAACTGTTTTAATATAAGACAGCAGCACCTACATAAACTAAGCCAGTAACACATTCCTTGTATACAATTTTTTATCGTTTTTTAATGCGTTTTTGTTCCCTTACTTTTTATGCAGTTATTTTTCTTTTATTAATATCTGATTTGTAACCCTTTTCATCCCCTCCGGGGATGTGTGTTAATAAATAAATAAAATTAATAAATAAAATTCTTTAAAACAAAATGGCGGCCAATTGGACAATTTGAACTTGAATAAAAAAATAAAATGACGTGCATCAGTGTCCAATTTGTCCATATATGAACTAAATCTATTTCCGGAGATTTGATTTTGTTGCATTTGTGGCCTTAAAACGACTGACATCCAGATTAATCAGCCATTTTTGTCGAAACCTTCAAAAACATATGACGTGCACCTGTGAGCCAATGAACATCAAACAAAGTTTGAATAAAACCGCCCTATCCATCTTCGAGAAAGGTTCTGGAACAGTTAAAAATGGACAATATGTAGTGAATTAAAAGTTAACATTGGTACGACATATGCACCCCTATATCTAAACTTTCAGATGATGTACGGATTTCTATTATAGTTTTCTAGCAACGTGCTTAGTAACTTTTAGAAAATGTCTAAAGCACAAACAGATGTTTAACTCATCTCATAGAAATGTCGGCTCAACTCTGCTATATTTGTCAACGTTTTCATTTCTAATTGAATGTGTTGCCATTTTAATCTAAGTCACGTTTCGATGATTATTTAAAATGTGGAACGTGTAAGAACGAAAAAGTCACCAAGATTGGTCGGTAAATGATTTTGTTCTTATAACTTTTCTTAATAAGTAATGCATTCTCGTTCCGTTTTTGAACGTGTTTCACTCAAATGTGGCATCTATTCGAAGAGGACGTCACGCGTGTTGTTCCTGTCCTCCGTGCACGTAAAATACCACACCTTTCTAGTCACGAGTAGTGATTCATCACGTGATATCTTGAACTTACCTTAAATTCAAACATGTGCTGTTAATGGGGAGAGTTGTCACGAAATTACTGAGTGGACCTCGAATTTATCGGGATTCCTCAAAGCCCACCACCAACCAGTCGAGGCTTGAGGTATGCGTGTATTGCAACCACCTTATCGATTTTCCAAACAATTATAGCTTGACCTCAAACGATTTTGTTTTACTTACTGGATATCCTGTCTTGTATAAAGAATTCATTGAACAATTATAGTCTTTATTTGGATGGGGGAGGGGGTCTTTATTGGTGTAGTTTGCCCATTCAGCAATTTGGGGTATATATCGCGCACATTGGTTTAAAATGGTGACCATAGCAACCGGATTGGTCTAATTTGTGCATTGATGATATACTGTCCTATTTAGTTCCACTGGCCCCAAATAGACATTATTTTCAAATGGCCGCCAATATCTTATTTGACAGTGACACCAAAGATTCTTTTTTGCCTCTCACATAATATATCATTCTCTCCTGTCATCGTGTTCACTGTTCCACATATTATGGTCTAGATCAGTAAAATCACGATCAACAGAAGATAATATGAAGCACACACATTCTATATACAGGAATATGTTGCCACCATGATATCGAGAATGTCAAGCCACGAGATCTGATTCCTCTCTCTGTTCCATCTACTAAACCATGGTGCAATAGTGGATATGATGAAGAGAGAAAATGGAAGACCATTTGTGGGGTAAAAACAAGTCACATGACTCTCCCACAAAAAGATTTCGATGGGATGGGCGTAAAGGTTAGTCTCTAGATGCAGCACTGGATTACTCCCGGGATGAACATCCAGGCATTTTTTTAATTACCTGGCAACCATCATCAATGAAAACAAAAGCTAAAAGCTCCCAGGATATGGTACAAGTTTTTTACCTAAGCTGTTTTTACCGGCTCCTTGAACATTATTTAACATAAGCTTGCAGCGTTCATGCACAGAAATAAATGATATAGTGGTGCACGTCTTAGCAACATAGAATGTACTTTCTATGCTTCCAAAGAATAGCCTCTGATTCAGCTCTTGTTAGTGTTTTTTTTTTACATATCTGCGAGGTCAAAATTAGACATTGTTGCATTTGCAAAAGATGCTTGATACAACTTTACATGTACTTGAAATGAAATACATTTATAACGTATGCATTGCACAATAATACTGTTATATTAAACAATACAAAAGACAAATATTAAGTTACAAAACTTGTCAATTTTCACAAAACATAATTAAACGATCAGGAAACTCAACAATGTAAAACAGACTCCTGGATCACCACACGTTTGTTTCTTTGAGTAAGTACACAAATGAAAATGCATCTATGCATACAAAAGAAAATGTGCCACTGTATGAAAATAAATCTATTGAAAATTGATCAAGTTGAATGTGCAAGAAAAAAGATCGCGAAAACTTCATCACAACATAGAGACAAATTGCTCTAATATTCACATCCCCTTCATTTAGGCAAAATATTTAACATGTGCATGTCATAAGCATTTTAATAGTTAAATTTACCTCCAGACATCACTGTGACATACTATTTACTTTCAATGTTAGTTGTGTTCAGCATGATAAGATTTATTGAAGTGACAATTGCAGTTTTCAAATGGTATATATCAACGCTGCAAATATCAGATTTGATTAAATTGAATTTTGCCAACAAAACAACACTACAACTGATGGTTTCAGATGAAGGAAAATGTATTTTAAATAAAAATACCACCTATATGTACTATGAAATTATTGTAAGAATACCACAAAGTATGCACAGAAGCAGTACAGCGATTGTATCGACCAACACAATCTGACCCATGACACTCTTATATAACCTTTTGTTGTACAGCCAGGAATGGCAATAAAAAAAAAAAAAACATTTTCCACTGTGTGTACTTAGTGTTTGGAAGGTATCATAACAGTAAACAATAAATTAATTATAGCTCACTGATATAGATATGCAATGAATACAACAAGAGGAATCGCAGCCATATTTATAAAGTGTAAATCTTAATTCTACATTAATGAAATTTGGTTCAATTTATTTGTATGGGTAATCAAACTTAGTTTACTGCTGTTATACATATGCATATCACGTACATCAATTATGTGCATAATAGAATTCATTGTGTGTGACTGAATATGAATATTGTCTAACTAAACATTTTACTACTGTACGTTTATCTCATCAAATACAAACACATGTACTGACATGATAAGAGTACACTGTAAATGCTATATTAATAATGCATATGCATACAGTGTGTTTTGGGTAAACATAATAAAAATGCAATATTTGGTCAATGTGCGCTTTTATTGGAGATGTTCTTCTAATAGTGCAAAAATGGTACCGTACGTGTTTATAAGATTTGTGTAACAAGTCTTCATGGCAGGAAAGTTGATTTAACTAACAAGCTCATGTAAATTCAACAACAAAAAAATATTCGCACAATGGTTTCCTGATTCGTAGCATTGAGGTAAATTCGCTAAAACGATATGCACATACTTCAAAGAGTTTTACAGTTAGATTTAGCACTCACTTTTTCAACGATTTAACGATTAGCCCTAACACAAGTTCTGTTAACATATGCAAAATATATATTATTTGACAAAATTCAACAATTCATGATGAAAATATTTTATATTTAGTTGTACACCTTATTCAGATATTTCACTGTATTTTTCATTGACTTGGAAAATGTGTGTCTTGTCATCTCTACAATAGACCATTTTCCGTACACTGCGAGAATCACGCGTTATGCGTGAAATCGAACGTAAAAACAGGACAAACAAAGGTCATAGCGTCGTAGTCGCGTCAAACATCGCGTGGGATTCGACAAACGCAAAAGTATTTTGGGGACATTTCCATGCTTAATAATGTGCTGTCCACATTTGATGATAGGCAATTTCGATTAAGTAAGGGTATTCGGAAGCAATATTCCTCTGTCGAAGATCGGCCGGTCGGTGTGAGCTACGAAATAAGGAAATTCGAGTTCAAAATCAAATCGTTCGATTTTTGCGGCAGACGTTCGACGCGCGTCTTTCATGCATCTCGCGAGATCTCGCAATTGTACGGAAAAGTACCTATTCAATTTGATTTAGCTAGTGTGCTAGCATTAGTCCAAACCCTGATGATAATACTGTAAAATGGCTAATTTTCACTGGGTTTAAATTTCGCTGATTTACCATGTTAGGCATATTCAGTGGGTTTTAAATTTACGGTTTTATCATTAAGATAATGTGTTCTATGCTAAATTTTACATATTCACTGGGTTTTAATTTAGCACATTTTCCAGTAAGCGAAATAAGCAAAATTAAAACCCAGTGAATAATTATCCCCTTTACAGTAGTTGTAACTTAAAATGCCATATTTGTCACAATGCATTGAATGGATACTACTCTCTCATTGTTCAGTTGACATAAAATTTTAATGCATACTGCAGAATGCTTAGCTTTGAAAATGGTTGGTTTTTGAGCACAAGTAACTGAGGGCAGTATGTTGATCTTGGATGCCACTTGTGATGAAAAACCAGGAGGTTCAATACATGTCATGAGTTAATATAAAGACCATTGATAGGCGTCTAGTCAAATGGGCAGTCTAGTGTGTGGTGATCAACATCAATAATATGGAAACAAAATCAAATCTAGTCTAGTCAGAAAGCACATGTTCAAGCATCTGTTTTGATCGCCTGTGACGAGGAGTTTGTGATATCTTCACCAGGAAGTACGCATCGCCAGAGTCCGTAGGTTTTTCCGACTGACGTCTGCCAGAGTCGTAATGTGCCATCTTCTGAGCCGCTAGAGTATAACTCGCCGTCTGGTGAAAAGCGCACACAGTGGACGGGACCGAAATGTCCTTTATAAGATTCTAAGAAAAGAAAACAAATAAAATTTTTAAGGTAAAATAGAATGTTCGGTATCATAGCTTTATACCATCTTAACACACAAAATGAAACAAGCAACCTGATGATCAAAATAGCTTATTTTTTTTTATCTGAGCTTTGAAAGTTTCCCCAATGTCACAGAAAGAAAAAAATATTTTAGAGGTCTATTCAATGTACAAAATGTATACATATATCAAGTATCAAAACAATTGTAGGAGCTAAGAAGAAGAAGAAGAAGAAGAAGTCAACATTATTTGCTAAAAATAGAGAATTGAAGATAGATATCATCACAAAACGAACAAATCTGGTAGAGGTCCACCCAAGGTACCCACAATCAAGTAATAGGAGCAGAAAAAAATTCCATATTTAGTAGAAAGTAGAAAGTCCAATACTTGTGGTTTACTGTAAACGATTCCATGTGTCAAAGCCGAAAATTTAAATTATTCAGTAAACCATCTAATGACTTACACTAAAACTCACCTAGCTCTTGTCCTGTTTCGTAGTCAAACTTGTAAATTTTAAAGTCTTCTCCTCCAGCAACAAAACACAGCTTTTCAGGATGAAGAGAAGCAGAGTATACAGGTGTCGGCGCTTCGTACGATTTGAGTTTTTCAAGACTGCAATCAAAAAATAAATTGTAAGTTCTTAATTAAATGCTTCAAACGTTTGATTCACAAATATCAATTAAAGCACCATGTATCTTATACTAATGTTTAAAGCAAGGATATTTTCAGGGAAAAATTGGATAAATTTGCCTTAGAAGATAGAAATACAATGTAATACAGTGGAAACATGAATTTATAAAGGGGGGGGGGACTAACTCTTTGGGGCATCAAGGCAATTTGATGCCTGTGTGCAGATCAAGCATTGTATACAAAGCAAGTAACATAATCGGTTGTAATATGACATGGTAATTCATATTAGGAAATGATTTGACCTACAATAATGACCTGATAGGTTAAGTCAGCCATTACATGTAACCAATCAGAAGGCATTCTGGTAGCGCTATGTGGAAGCCAATTATCAATGTCAAAGTATGATCTGTTGGAATTGGTTTTGGCCAAAAAATAAGACATGATTTAAAAAAAAAAAAAAACTGTTAATTTTGGCAATTTTTGAAAGGAAAACTGAATATGGAATGAAGAAGTCACCACCTTTCATGGTTGTCAAAAAGTGTGTTAAGTCCGATGAGTACAATAACATGACATAACAGCTTTATGCTATCACTATGTTGATGTTCCATGGTTATACATTAAGGTAGTGAGACTATTATTTGTGTTGAAAATTATGATTTTCACATTTATTTATTAATTGTAGAAATGCACTATAAACTTTCATCTGACAAAGTCAACGTAACCTAGAATGTCATGTAAGTTGGTTAAAATGTAGATTTTCTGAAGGGAAGCAAGGCAGCTTCAGTAGTGTTTTCTAAAATCAACAACACAGGTTTAATTTGTGTGCCTATAAGTTTCAAAGATTAACTCAAGACAAAGCAATGTTAGGATGTGTTATCAGTAGCTATCTGACACACAATGAGTGTTTGAGTGGTTTGTCTCCGCCCCTGTTTATTTCACGGATTAGTCATTTGCATATGAATGTGTCAGACACAAGGTCACACAGCCACTGAAAAAAAATCATTGATTGTAGTGTTTTAATCTGCCGTTTTATCGAACTATAGCTATCCCATTCCTTTATTTGTTTGGTTTCCAATAGCCTTACACATTTGGATGCCCCTACACATGTTAAAACAGACCTTGATAGGAAAATAAATCGCTTGTGCAGATAAACAAGCTTGAAAATCTTGACTTCATCGACGTTTTCTAGGAGTTTATGTTTTTCAAAATACAAGGTCTTTAACAAAAAATAACGTATACTTATTGTCGTCGGATTAACACCAAATTTTCACAGCTTTAAGGTGACAATGAGCGGAACTTGAATGTGTCCAGACAAACTATTTCATGGATTATTTACCAATGTGTTGTGGTTTGAGTTGGGGTCAATGCGACTAAAACAGAAATTAAAATTCAGGACACTACTTTTCAAAACGCGTTACTTGAATAAAACTGACCAGACACATTCAATTTACCAGACTATTGAACAACTAGGAAAAGTGAAAACAAACTTCTTATCACCAGCATAAATGCGTAATTATTTTTTTTTTACCAAAAAAGTAATTTTT